TCTCCAGTCGTGTCCCATGGGAGCATAACTGTGGAGTCCTCTTGGTTGCCTGCAAGGTCCATGTTTTGCTGGGGGATTCAGGCTCCTCGGGGTCTAGTGCTGTCCCCTGGAGGTGTTTTTGGGTCAGATCCTGTATTTTCCTGGAGGAAAAAAGAAAACAGCCCCAACCCACATACCCTGACCCTGCACTTCTCGGACTGCTCGGGCCCCACCTCTTATTTAAGTGTGTATGTTTATTGTACATTTGGTGACTGTTGTTGTGTTCAGAGTCTTGTGCAACCTGGCGGGTGTAAAAAAAAAAAAAAAACAAACCAACCCTCCCCTCCTGAAATTAATAAATCTTTTTCTCTTTTTTTTTTTTAAACACTTGTGATGATTGATCTTTTCTGGGGGGGTAGATAAAGGTATAGAAGTCATAGGGAAGATGTCATTGCTTCCTGATGTCCCACAACACAGTCCAAGGGGGGGCTAAAGGGAGGTGGAGACCCCGTGGGTCTCTGAAACCCTGTTAAAGGATGGGACGTGGTGGTATTTTCTTGCTGATCAACCCCATAGCAGCTGAAAACTAAGGACTACAGGAACATGTCCTCTGGAATCAGCCACTCCAGTGAAATCCCTATCCTTGGACTGACACACGTCCCCATCCCAAGGTTATTGCAGGTACTATCCTGAGACCTCTGCCCCCAAATTACGACCACCCCTCACTGAGTAAAATGTATGACCTCCACCTAAACATGAAGAGAAGTTAAGACTGGGGAGAAGTTATGGAAGACTCCATCCTATGTTCTGGGATCATTCATTCTGGGGTGAATCTGTTCTCTCCCCCATGGGGGCACCTTGGGTGAAAACTGCAGGAATCATTATTCCCTGGCGATCAGAGCTTGTCTCTGTACTGTTTGAACACGTTTTTACAGTCGGATGCTACTGCTGGCAATCCTCCAACCTCAACCTATCACAATGTTATTAATATTCTGTAAACTGTTAATGCGAGTCCTTCAAGGGCTCTGTCAGTGGGTGAAGGTGTGGACACTGCAGATGGGTCTGTTTCCTGTATTAAAATTTAAACCATAATTAATATTAGCGCAGCATATCAATGGGATTGCAATCAAGCCCCAGAAACCTAAAACTGACAGGTGGCTTCAGAATTCCAAAAATACCTTTTTTTTTTCTTTTTTTTTTTCTTTTTTTTTTTTTCCTGAGAGACTTTAGAGAATCATTTTCCCTCC